GGAAAGAGCATGAATAAATGTAGTTTGAGGGGGAGATTCATATTTCAAACTAGACCATGTTTATGAACTTGGGAATTCTTCATTCAGTATTTCAGTTCCAAGTGTAAAAATGAGAAGAGTGAGATTTCTCTAAATTTATCACTTTTTTTCTTTGTTTTTTTGGGAAGGTATCTGCATACTTTTCAAATCTATTTACTTGTTAGTGAAGCTGCTTGAGGCAACTGAAATATATTGTTTTAATTACTCTTCTGAAAATATGCTTGGTGCAGTGGTTTGCACTGTCAAAGATCATCAGGTCAAACTTTTCATGTCTCTGTCTCTATTCTAACTCCAGGTTTACACTGAGTTTGTTGCCAAATGTAACATATTGAGCAGTGATAGTGAGATATAAGCAGACATCCTAAGTAGAATTGCCAAAGCTGTTGTTGAGGCTGGGTGAGAAGAGACTTAAATGACACTCCTGATTCGAAGAGGAGTTGAAGACGTGCTGAAACAGCTTTTATCTAATGTTTAGGCATTTTACATTAATGGGCCTGACTGTTAGGGGAAAAAAAATAGTGTAGTTCTAAGGAAACACAGCTAGCTCTGAATATAGCACTCCAGCAACAAGGAGTTCCTACAGTATTTCATTGCTTCTGTGGTAGAAGAATGACATATACAGGGTCCTGAAACATGATTTCTTACCCATCTTTCCTATCCAGTGATGCTTCTGGCCTAGCCAACTTGGTCATAATGCCCATCCCTTAGGAAATCAGTCAGGGATTTGGAGAGATGCTGCTCTGTAAATCAAACTCAGGCAACATAGGGAAATCCGGGTTGTTTTGAAAACCAAGAGAATGAAAGATCTTGAAAATTATTATTATTATTAGTTGGAGGAGGAGGAGTAATAAATTCATTAGGTGTAGCAAACTATCTTGTGGACTGGTTCCTCAGCTGTGGGATGCACATGTCTTCATGGAACCTCGTTTTGTTTGTCTGTTGTATGCTGGTTTGGCAATAGCAAGTGTCTCTTTTCTTACATTCAAGAATTAAAAAAATCACTAGGTGAGTGAACTGCTCCCCTACAGGGCCCTTTAGTTATGGCCAGCTCAGCTGGGGCCTTGAGGAGTCACAGCAAGCTGCCTCCCTCCCAGTGATCTCATGCAGGTAGTAGAGAGCCAGCCTCCGCTGAAACATTCCATAGGGAGTGCCCGGAGTCTGGGTGTCAGCACTCCTTGAGTGCAATAGGGTACATGGACACTGCTGTTAATGCTCATTATCTAAGATAAGGCATGGCTTTGAGCTCCATTTTGCAGCTGGAGGGCTATAATCTAGAAGGAAGAAACTCTGCTGAAGTACCCTGTATACTCTGCTTCCTGCTAATAAGCATATTCCCACAACACATCTGGTGCCATTGTTTGGCCTGTCCCAAAGGTAATCCATCTGGTTGCTTCTGCTTCAGCAGGGCATCTTCTTCTAGAGCCATAATTAAGTACCTAATTTTTAGGCCTGTTGTTTTTTTTTTTCTCCAATATATACTGCTTGCACTGACAAATCTTTTAGTAATTAATTAATGAACATTTGTGTAGAACCCAGGAATTGTGCCTGATGTTTTAGGAAGGATAAAGACTTGGATGGGGCATATGCAGAGATGTGAGCAGTTTAACAGCCCTTGATGAGAGTCAGGAGCCATTGGAATCTGGGATTTTTCCCTGTGTGTCTTTGAAACGCTTCAGCCTCCCTGCTGAATTTACGCAGAAACAATAAGGCATGTCACAGGAAAGATGACATTCAGCAGCTAGCAAAGAAACTTTAAACAAAATAAGGTTAGGAGGTTGCTTGGCTTTGTAAGATGTGTGTGGCTTTTTCTGTATTCTAGGTCCCTCCCATCTTATTTTATTAGACTAGCATTAAGCTGAAAGAACTACTTAGTCTGGAGAAGAGAAGACTAAGGAGGGTTCTGGAGAAGAGAAGACTAAGGAGTGTTCGGGTTGGATTTTATAAATCTTCAAATACCTGAGGGGCGATCACAGGGAAGATGGATATAGGGGACAGGAGGAGG